TCTTGTATGGTTGGTCCTCAAGTACATTGCCCACATCTTTGCCGGTTTTTCAGTATAAAACTAAGATTGGAGTTTTGATTCAGCAAGACAAGGTGCAAAAGAAACCAATTTTGACTGTCAAAAGAAGGCTGTGGGAAATGCAGATAGGCTCCATCGAAGAAAAAGACTTACTCGGACTGTGGAAAGCGCTTAAATGTCTCCCCTCCCAAAGACAGGCAGCCCTTCAATGGCTTCACTCCCTGCACATCCCGCCGTCAGCAATGTGGCTCATGACCAAAGGAATGGATCTCTCCTTCCTAGAATCAGAACTTTCTGGATATCCGAAACAGTGTACCCTTCGCACGTGATTAGGACGAAGTGAAGAACGTGTGCGGAAGGACAGAGGGCTGCCACGTGCGCCACCGAATTGGCGGACAGTAATTCCTCTGCCAAAGGGGGGGCAATCAGTGCTGCTCGCGCCCCGAAATAAAAACATGCTGGCGGTCAGTCGTTGAGGGAGACGCTACGGTAGATCCCGTCTCCAGCAGAGTCAGCACAGGTAATTTGTTCGTGGGACGACCATTTCATTTTATACGGAAAGATCCCAGCGAATAGCAACACTGGCTCCGGATGTGCTGCAGGGGGGTGATTATGGAGAGGATTTGGGCTGAACGAAACGCCAAGATCTTCTGAAAGGAACTTGTCTCCATCCAACAGTCAAGGAATCAGATCAAGGCTGGTATTAGACTAGCAATACTTGCTGACTGGAGAAGGAAAAGGTCCACTTGGTTTGTGAAAACTTGGGTCAAAAGCAACTGTGCTAAGATCACGGTTGAAGGTAAAATGGAGATTGCCCTGTGGATGTGGTAGCGCCACTAGGGGCGCATGTAGCTCTGCTTACTTCATTGTGCACTGGGTGTTTTGTTAGGCCCAGGAGAGCCACAGGCTGGGCTCGTTCTTGCGCTCCTTTTGTTGACGTCCCTGGATGTTTTGAGCATCCGCAGGTTGTGAGTTATATCCTAGGGGTCTAAAGTATGGCTTCTTGATCAAAGCGGGCTGCTGAAGGAAGTCCAGTATACACCCACTCCGTTTTTTTTCCTGAAAGTTTTGTATTAGAGGGAAGAAGAGGGACGCTGGACCCGGTTTCCAGCACAGGCTAAGCTGGGTATGGCCCCCAGTTTGATTTTCGGGTTGTTCGTGAGGAATTCCAGGCCTCTTTTTCAATATTGCGTAATGAAGATACATTTTCTTCAAAAAAAAAAAAAAAAAAAAAACGAAAGGTAGTTTAATTTGAGACCACCTCTGGAGGTGGTCTCAAAAAGGGTCCTCCTGTGGCCCTGCAGGCTGCTGACAAAAGGGTCACCGTTTAAGGCATTTGGGCAGTGGGCCTCTCCAGTGTGACCCAAAAACTGACTCAAAATTTGGGATTTAGGGTCTTTTGGCCCTAGTGTGAGTATGCCCTGACTTCTTCACATTTCGTGAGTTGTGCAGCGAGGCCCAGAATCAGAACTTTCTGGATATCCGAAACAGTGTACCGTCCAGAGCCCTCCGCACATGATTAGGACGAAGTAAAGAAAGCGGGCGGAAGGACAGAGGGCTGCCACGTGGCGCCACCGAATTGGTGGACAGTAATTCCTCTGCCAAAGGGGGCACAATCAGTGCTGGTCGCGCCCCGAATTAAAAACATGCTGGCGGTCAGTCATTGAGGGAGAGGCTACGGTAGATCCCGTCTCCAGCAGAGGCAGCTGTCCACCCTCTTAGGGCATACTCACAAGAGGACCACAAAACCCAAAATCCCAAAATTTGAGTCATTTTTCGGGTCACACTGGAGAGGCTCGCTACCCAAATGCCTCAAACCGTGACCCTTCTGTCAGCGCCCTGCGGGGTAGCAGGTACCCTTTTTGAGACCACGTCCGCCGGTCCTCCGGAGGTGGTCTCAAATTGCCTTTCTTTTTTTTGGCTTTCGTTTTTTTTTCTTCTGTTTTCTGGAATTGAAGAGAATCCTAGACCAAGAAGACAGCCCGCCAAACAACTGAAAGTGCGACCAAATACATTTAAGTTGTAGATAAGGTCCAAGCAAGTTGTAGATAAGGTCCAAGCCTTAATTTGTTTTTTCAAACAATCCATCTTTTCGTTTGGTCTTTTGCCGTGTGACGGGCGCACTTGCCCTGAATGCAAAGTGGGTCGCTGCCCTGAACCCAAAGTGGGTCGCTACTTCGTCCTTACTGGACGACCACACGGGGACCAAATGCCTCAAAAAAGGCGAACCAAATGCCTCAAATTTTTCAGACTTTTGGTCCCCGTGTGAGTATGAGGCATTTGGTTCTCCTTTTTTGAGGCATTTCGTCCCCGTGTGGTCACACCGGCGGTTTCTGGCGACCCTGACACTTTGCATTCAGGGCAAGTCCGCCCGGTCACAGGGGAAAGGACCAAACGAAAAGATGGAAAAAAAAATAACTCTTGGGCTTATCTACAACTTAAATGTACCTGGTCGCACTTTCAGTTGTTTGACGGGCTGTCTTCTTCGTCTCCGATTCTCTTCAATTCCAGAAAACAGAAAAAAAAAAAGAAAGGTAATTTGAGAACACCTCGGGAGGTGGTCTCAAAAAGGGTAGCCCCCGGCAGGGCGCTGACAGAAGGGTCACCGTTTGAGGCATTTGGGTAGCCAGCCTCTCCAGTGTGACCCGAAAAATGACTCAAATTTTGTGATTTTGGGTTTTTTGGTCCTCTTGTGAGTATGCCCTTAGTCAGCCAGACTAAACTAAGGGCCTCCACACGGCTGTCCAAATGAAAACAGAAGGAATGCATCTGCCACAGAAAGTGGTAAGATGCATCCATTGCTATTCATGGCAACCGATGCATCTTGCCCTCCTCCGCGGGAAGGTGAGGCCGTAAGCCGTGCTGCTTCTTTCCTTTTTTTCTCTTTTTCTTTCTTATCTTTTTTTTAAAGTTAAAGAAGGGCGACGGCCCAAGTGGCATTCAGGAGGTCTTGGGTTCAATCCCCATTGGCCTCATGTACCTTCCTGGGCAAGCTTGGCGCCCGCCACCTAGAGATATGCCGTTGGTCCCCTACTGGCATTGAGCAGAGCCTGCTGATGTCCATAGGGGGAGGGGACCGGAGGGGAGGCACAGTGACTGGCCCATCGAAGAAGCTCGGTCCTGATGCTACCGGCTGACCCCTGGCCGGTATCACCCACCTGCTGTAGCAGGTATCCCACCTGCTGGTGGGTGCAGCTCCCGCATGTTCCCTCGTTGGAGGCTTCAGCACGGATGTGGCTGCTATGGGGTTCCCCGTAATACTATAATAAAAAAAGGCCTTAAAGGCCGTCCTGCCCAGATTTGACAGGTAATTGAATTCGTTGGGCTTGAAGAATTAGCACAAGCACCAGCTAGTTTAGAATTATTTAAAAAAAAACTGACCAGCACCAGCTAGTTTAGAATTATTTTCAAAAAAAAAAAAAAAAAAAAGACCAGCACCAGCTAGTTTAGAATTATTTTCAAAAAAAAAAAAAAAAAAGTTCAGAATTATTTTTATTTTATTGAAGTTAATTCATCTAGTTCCAGCTGGGCTCGATGTGATTCAACAGGTCGTAGGGTACCGACTGAGCCAGGACCGTTGGTAAAGAGTGCTGCTGGGGCGATGGTAAAGCGGGGAGAAGAGGGGGGGGAAAGGTTCACAGGTGAAGCCCTATTCCTGAGAGCAACGAGCGGAACCCGAGCTCGGCGCGATTTGGAGGAGCGGCGGACGATTTCGTCGACAGTTCTTCTTCTTCTTCTTTTTTTTTTTTTCCCCCTTCCCTGAAACATCTTAGCAGCAAGCCTGGAATTCAGGGATGACACGTGGAGCATGAGCCGGTTGAGATCTTGCACAATTGATCGCTCCAATCCAGTCTATATCTTCCAGAACAGAGAGTCACTATTTCATCAAAGATTGAAAGGCTTTTGTTTGATCAAAAGAAAGGTAAGGTTAAAAGGTGAGAGAATTTTATCATTTCCCGCTACATTGTCTCATAGTTCGGCCCTAAAAGGAGCGACCAAGTACTCCAATTTCCCATCGTTTTTTCATTAACTACGGTAGTAAAGAGCTCGAGAGCTCTCGCAGAGATTCGATGCCAAAAAATAATTGGGAAAAGTAATAAAAGTGGATAAAACCTCCCCGCGACGGAACCCATCTGGAGTAGGTCGCCATAGATTCGATGCCGAAAAATCATTGGGAGAAGATGCGTCCAGAAGAAGCCCAGCTGGAGTAGGTGGCCATAGGAGCTCATCTCAGTTCTTGCGTGTTTCTCCTCCCTGCAGCCGCCTGGATGACAGTCGGACGAAGTGCAGTGGTGCGAGTCTACCTCCGTTAACGATGGAATACCAACGCGGGAGAACATCACACCCCCAGAACAGCCTCGTCGAAAACATTGAATTTCTCTCTACATTTGTTTCTGGAGAATCGGCCTGGGGCAGTTGGTTGCAAATCTCTCTCTCTCACTCTCTCTCTCTCTCTCTCTCTCTCTCTCTCTCTCTCTCTCTCTCTCTCTCTCTCTGTGTGTGTCTCATGCACACACACACACACACACACTCTTCCCTCCCCTCTCCTCTCCCCTCGCGCCCCCTCCCCCCCCCCCCCCCCCCCCCCCCCCCCCCCCCTTGGTTTTTTTCATCCCCCCCCCCCCCCCCCCCCCCCCTTCCCCCCCCAGTCTTCTCCCCTTGCCCCCCCTGCCCCCCCCCCCCCTCCTCGCCCCTCTTCCTCCCTTCCGGTCCAGAATCAGAGTCTATAAGCAATTATTTCAATATTTCTATTGCTACGGAAACGCGCATACGAAGACGCGCTCATCCGGAAAGGAACCAAGCGAGGACTGAACTTTATTCCCCGCTGTTGACGTGAAGCAGCTGAATAGTCATCTACCAGAAGTAAATCGAACAAAAACAGATGTGAAGGGGCGAAGCAGCAAAGATGTGCAGAGAGGGCAAGATGGCCGACAACCACAGCGAGCGGAAACGAGGGTAGACCAGAAGCGAAGCAAACTCACCTGAAATCAGCGCATTGAGAAGGACAGCTCAGCCCACCTCCTCATCTTCTTCCCACTCCCCGCTCTCGTGGTGACCCATAGTAGTACGCGCTGAGGGGAAAACACGCGCCAAGGTTCAACCGCTTCGGCAGGAGCGTTCTTTACCCTCAGATTGCTGCGCTGTCCACTTCGCCGCCGACAGCTGACACATGACCGTGCCGCACAGTTCCGACACCTCCCTCTCTCTCTCTCYCTCTCTCCCTCTCTCTCTCTCTCTCTCTCTCTCTCCCCCCCGGCTATGAATCCCCGCGGTCATGACCGCGGGGCCAAACTCGGATTGCGGTCGGGATGCCGACCGCAGATCATGGCCCCTGCGGTTGGGTGCGGCCGAGATTTTCACATATTAAAAAAAACTTAATGGACCAAAAGAAAAACAAAAAATATGGGGTTGTAGGGTTTGAAAATACCTACAAGAATCATATATTTTTTGTTTTGGATTATGAAGTGTTTTTTTTTTTTTTTTAAATAGAAAACCAAAAAAGAAGTATTTTAATCAAAAGAAACGTAACAAAAAAATGATTTTATTTTTTTTTCGTGTGTGTGTGTGTGTGTGTATGTGCATGTGGAGGAGGGAGGGGAAACCCCTTCCCCACTAATCAATCAATCAATCAATCAACCCCCGTGTGTGTTGTGTGTGTGTGCATGTGCAAGGGGGAAGGGCGACCCCTTCCCCACCAATCAATCAATCAATCAACCAGCAAAAAACAAAAAGATAAGAAAACAAAAAACAGCGGGCTCGGCCGTGTGTGTGTGTGGGGGGGGGGGGGGGGGGGGGCGACCCTTTTCCCACCAATAGATCAATCAATCAATCAAAAAAAAAAGAAAAAGTAGAAAAGGAAAAACAGAGGGTTGGACCCCCCGCCGCGCCAGAGTGTATGTGTGTGTGTGTGTGTGTGCATGCAGGGGGAAAAGACCACCCCTTCCCCACCAATCAATCAATCAATCAAAAAAGAGAAAAAGTGGAAAAAAAAAACAGTGGGTTCGACCCCCGTGTGTGTGTGTGTACAGGGGGGGGGAGACCCCTCCCCACCAATCAATCAATGAATTAATAAA